AGCCACAGCGCCACTTCCGGCTTTTTTCTTTTTGCTTATGTGGTGCTGAGGAATCGAACCCAGGGCCTTGAGCATGCAATGCAAGCGCTCTACCACTGAGCCACCTTCCCAGCCCCAAAAATGGCATATTTTGAAAGACAAGTTCTACTCAGAAGGCAGAAGGTCAAAATAGTACAAGAGTAAAAAATTACCTCAGTGATATTATCAGTACTTTATCTTTAACTAAATTCATATACAACATGGTAAGTTAAATGATTAACCTTTCATGTAAATATTTTGTATCTTCCCATTTAGGCATTTTAGCACGAGAGAAGCTGTTTTAGAAGTGCAAAATGTACTAGTACCTGAAACAGAATGAGTACCCTAAAATTACTTACTAGTTGACTATTAATTCTGAATACAATCTTGGAGATTCATTACTAATTATACTTCTAATTTGAATGAAGACATTTTATTTAACTTGTATAAAGTCCACAGCCTTTCAATTATGTTTTATTTAACTTGTATAAAGTACACAGCCTTTCAATTATGTTTATAGCAATTATCTGAGTAAGCAAACATTCTAGTGCAATAAAATTGCACGAGGTCATATGGTTAAGTTCTTTATTAATATGAGCTACTTGGTATATGCATTTCTGGCATTTTTGCTTTATTTCCCAACAGTTTTAAAATAACTTACCAATTTGGCTGATAAGCTGCCTGAACTGATCAAGGTAACTCTGACCTTCTGGTGTGATTCCAAGTTTTCTGATGCCTCGATTGAATTTTTCTGCTCTATCAAAAGGATACTAAAGAGAGAATTTTAAGACTAATTAAGCACAAAATGACTACCAAACCAAAAGGTCAATACCACTTCTATTTCTAATTTTGTATTTCATTATTCCTTTTAAAAAAATCAAGTATAATGAATAAATATCTGTGGAACAAAAACTATTAGGGTTCAAGATCAATGTTTTATTTTCTTGGCAATATTAACTAAAGGGAATAAATTGCAGAACTGAATTTTATTAATAGTCTCCCAATATTCAACTAATGTATGAAATTGAGAAAAGAAACTCATTCTTCCTAGAAACATTTGTTCAAATGTGTGACCAAGTTTCTGTTGAATTTACAAACACATCAATGAACACACATCAGCTGGGATAAAATTTGTTACTACCATCATCAATTAGGCAAAATAACTTTTCCAAGTCTCAGTGGATAGATTTAAGAAATTATAAGAACAAAAGAAAGCAATTCTCACACAATAGCAGAATTATTTAGCTTGGGGCACTAGTAAGGTCCATCCCAATAAAGAAAAGATAGTTGATATACTTCTCTAGGGATAACTATAATATGTAATTAAATTATTTTAACAGAAAGGAGCATTCTGCTGCTCTGATGTTTAATAGTACTACAAACTATTTTACAAGAGGGTTAGGACTGGATGAATCTTTTTTTTTTTTGGGCAGTCGTAGGGCCTGGGCACTATCCCTGAGCTCTTCAACTCAAGGAGAGTGGTCTACCACTTAAGCCACAGTGCCACTTCTGGTTTTCTGGTGGTTAGTTGGAGATGAGTCTTAGGGGTTTTTCCTTCCCGGGCTGGCTTTGAACTATGATCCTCAGATCTCAGCCTCCTAAGTAGCTAGAATTACAGGCGTGAGCCACCAGCACCTGGCTTGGATGAATTTTAAGCAAGATTATTAGGGGGGAAAAAAAGAAAGATTATTAGAATAGTTCTGTATATGGTAACTCAAAAATATAGGACCCATCTGAGCCCAGTGGTTCTCTATCCACACAGATACATGCCTCTATACTAGTAATGTTTTACAATCTAACAGGATCTTTACTTCCCTCTGGGAAAACTCCGGCATTCCTTTAAATTATTGCCAGGAATGTGAACTATAAAGTGTTTCTCAAGTGGTAAGCATTTTGTGCTAGAAATTTTAAATATTTATTCTTTTTCCTCAAAATTCCTTTTTATCCCATTTTTAACACCTATATAGGTGTTAAATTAGGTAGATCAGTATGTACTGACGCAATAAGCTCACTGAAAAATAGTATGTATAAGACAGTTCATTTTCACTAAACAGCAAGCTATGTAAGTATGTGTATCCATATAGATTAAGCTACTTGAAGGAATAGTCTTACATTGATACCGCAACTGCTTTCAGGAAACAAAGTAGGAAGAAAGAAAATGAGGAATTAGAATTGTAGCACAAACATTTGCCATGTACTTAGGAACTGAATCAAAAATACCTTAAAAGAATATATAGCATACCTTATGATCATTTTGGTCCTTGATTTCCCTGAAAAACCGAATATCTTTAATCAATCTGGATTTGATATGCTCATCATACATAAACTGGCTAAATATATAGAATTTCTTTTTCAAAAACTGGTAGGTGAAATTAACCTATAAAATTAAAATTTAAAAAATTGAAAAAAGTTAATATAAAACAATTTCTAGTCAACATTACTGCATAACAATGGCCAACAATTATTTCTAAAAGTCAATTCACACTGGACCTGAAATACTTAAATAAATCAAATTTCTTTTTTTCTCCCAGTCCTGGGACTTAAACTCTGGGCCTAAGCCGTGTCTCTAAGCTCACAGCACCAGTTCAGCACCACTTCCAGCTTTTTCTGAGTAGTTTACTGGAGATAAGAATCTCAAGGACTTTTCTACCTGGAACCTTGATTCTCAGATCTCAGCCTCCTAAGTAGCTAGGATTAATTACAGTACGTCACATCTGTGCTCAATAATAAATCAAATTTTTACTGCCCAAACTTTCTGACCTTTCTGTATGTTTCTATTTTTACAACAAAAGTGAACAAAGGGGAAATGTAGAAAATGCTGAGGCTAGAAGAAGAAACAAACCAGACTACAGACTCTAGTGTTCATGCCATTTAATTACAGATGGGGGCTGGGAAGGTGGCTCAGTAGTAGAGCGCTTGCCTTGCATGCATAAGACCCTGGGTTCAATTCCTCAGCACCATATAAGCAAAAAGAAAAAAAGCCAGAAGTGGCGCTGTGGCTCAAGTGGTAGAGTGCTAGCCTTGAGCTGAAGAGCTGAGGGACAGCGCCCATGCCCAGAGTTCAGGCCTCACAACCGGACCTAAAATAATAATAATAATTACAGATGGAAGTTTCTATGTTCCACTCTAAGACAACAGCAGAGCCTTGGCATCCATGTGCATATGAGTTGCTGAGGAAAAGTGTCCATGCTCAGGATGCAGAAGTACTGTACTACAAATGCTTACTTGTTCTGTAGTGCTGCCAACAACCACTAAAGACACACTATCTTTCAAAAACAGTGATACTCACTGTATCACTTAAAATAAGCACACCAACATTTCCCTTGACATTTGGGCTCCATTTTTGAAAGGCAGATTTTCACAAAATTAAGAATAAGGAAACATTCAGCAGATCATACAATGATTTGTGCCACACTGATAATAACATGACTGAGAGTTTTTCTCTGCACCAACTGAGTTGAGTAATGCACACAAGGAAGTCTAAAGGTTTTGCTTTTGAATTTTTTAATTATTTTTACCATCTTGATAAAACTACATATAATAAATCTGGGTTTACTGTACTTATTCCTAGGTCTCCATACACTAGCTCATGCCTATAATCCATTACTTGGGAAGCAGAGATAAATAAGATTACAGTTCAAAGCCAGCCTACACAAAAAGTTATTAAGATACCACCTCAACAAATAAACTGGGCATAATGATATACAACTGTAATTTCAATTTATGAAGGAACATAAATAGGAGGATCACTGTCAAAGACCAGGCAGGTGAAATATAAAAGACTCTATTTGAAAAAAACAAAAGGGCTAGGGATATGGTTTACTTGCATAGCAAGTAGAATGCTCTGACTCCAAACCCTAGTACTTACCAAAAAAAAGAAGAAAAAATTACTTACAGTAATCTACATAGTTAAGAATGATACTAAAGTAACAAGCATGTGTTCTTTAATTTTCCTGAAGATATTAAGCAATTACTTATCTATAACCATTCTGGACACCTTGTACACCCAAGGTAATGTTCCTGTTCTTCTGCTAGACAATAGTTCTTGTGCTCATGAAGTTTATATTCTAGCAAAGGTTACAGATATCTTAAACAAGTATGTACTGCTTTTAAAAAAATCTGCCAAGTGGTGGTACACATTTGTAATTCCAGCTACTTGAGAGGGAGAGTTAGGTAGATAGTGAGTTCAAGGCCAGCCTGGACAAGGTCAGTGAGATCCAATCTTAAAAACAACAAAAAAGGGTGAAGGGTATGGCTAAGTACTGTGGTCAAGCACAAGGCCCTGGATCAACCCCCAGTCCAGGAAAAACAAAAATTAAATCCCAAGTGTAGTAATTTTTAAACATGGTAAGTAATGCGAGAGGTGCTGTGAGAATGAGTATAAAAAGGCTTGACTCAGATTCACAATATCCTGAGAAAGTGAGATTTCAGCTGATATTAAAGTAAAATAACCTAACATTAATGCTAACCTATTAAAACATTCACTTGTCTCCCTCACAGGAAAAATTAGTTACTATCTAGTGCTTTTCTCAAGTAAATGAATGCCTATTTTAGAATTCAAATTATTTTTATTAAGTTCCTATTCATATGTGTATCTTCAATACTTTTTCCCCCAAAAGAAATGACATTAAACAGCTACCAAGGATTTGTTTTTGAAAGTAATTTTCAGAAAACATCAGAGAATACACATATAATCTCTAAATCTCCAATGTTATTTATGATGATCCTGAGATGTTACAGTACTTTTTACGTCTCAGTTCATAAAATCCAATCCAACACAATTTTAAGGCCACACTTTTTAACTATATCACTAGAAAAAATGGAAATTCAAGAATAATACAAGCAAGAAGCAATGTATTTTGCCTAGTTATTCAGTAAGAAAATTATCTTCCAAAGTACTAAATTAGATAGGGCTTTATTCCCATCTAACTCCACAAAGGTGCTTACTGTGGTATTCATGATTCCTGTGCCATGTGTTCGAATTGAATTAGCAATATGCCGAATATTAATAGTATTCAAATGTTTATTATTGCTTGTTCGTTCAATAAAAATCTGCAATGAGACAAATTTATGCTCAGTAAGAACACAAACCATAACACTGATCAGTTAAGCAAAGAAAATTTCAGAATCTCATTAAAGATAATTTAACTGAAAAAACACTCAAGAAGATAGTACAAAGGAATAAGTATAGCAGCAAAGGAATAAGCAAGATCTCTAACTAGTAAATTATTTATTTTGTATATTTTACTGATTTTAACCCTTGAGAACTTATTCCTTGTTCTTTAGCCTTCCCACTACATAGTAACCCACATTTTAAGAAAATGTCTAAAACCTACTTACCTGATTATTGAGATTATAGAGGTACCGAGACACAAATATATGAATGTTTCTCATAATCTCCAAAACATCAAGGCCCTACAACACAATCCACAGAAGTGCATGTCTAAGTTTTATGTCTAAGATGGTCAGTTAAATCTGCATCAATACAGGAACTTACCACGTTTACAATATTAGAAGTTAAGTTTACAATTACTACAAAGAACTTCATAAAAGGTATCACCAAAGGTTCAAGAACTTTGACTTGTACATATTCTCAAGGATTTTTCTCTAAAGTTTTTCACAAAGTAAACTAATGTCCAGATTCTGAAAAGTAGTCACAGACTATGCTGAGACATTACTTTTCATATACTAATCATGTGTAATTCTCAAAATGAGGTGCTATTATAAATTCCATAAGTGAAAAAAAATGAAACTAAGCAAGCTCTGAGGTCAAGCAGCCAGACTCTAGAGTTTTAGGAAATCCAGTTCTAAATTTTTTACATTTGACTTTCATAGACCACATTTTGGAGGTTGGTATGGAGGCATGAATTCAAGGCCTCTAGCTTGCTCAGCTGAAGTTATACCACTTGAGCCTGGCTTCCAGTCTGCCTTTTTACTGGTTAACTAAAGAGTCTTTCAGACTCTACTGCCTAGGTTAGCTTTGAACTAAAATCCTCTGATCTCAGCCTTCTGTGTAGCTAGTATTACAGTGTCAGCCAATGGCATCTAGCTCCAGATCATTTTTATATAAAAGTTCTTGACAGAGATTCTTTCATCTTTCAGATATTTCACATTGTTCCCTAATTTTTCTATTAGCACTCAAACTGGCACAACACTTTCTAACATCTTCTAACCTAAATTTTTGTTTTCACACATTTTTTTATCCCATTAGATTATAAGTACACAAACTGAGACTGTTTCTATTTCCCTTTGATTTCCTAAATACAGCTGAGTATCTAGCATGTTTGCAACAAATAGTAGATGTATAGAAGTAAATGAAGGAATATGTAAACTGAAAATGATCCTAACAGGCAGCAGGATAAAAAAAATATGATCTTGCTGGGCACTAGTGGCTCACGCCTGTAATCCTAGCTACTAAGGAGGCTGAGATCTGAGGATCACCGTTTAAAGCCAGCCTGGGCAGGAAAGTCCGTGAGACTCATCTCCAATAAACCATCAGAAAACCAGAAGTGGCACTGTGACTCAAGTGATAGAGCACTTGCCTTGAGCTGAAGAGCTGAGGGACAGCGCCCAAACCCAGAATTCAAGCCCCATGACCAACAAAAAAAAAATTATGATCTTAAAAGTTTGGGACTGAATAAATGCCTTTTTGATTACTGTAGAAAAATCCTATGCAAATTAACTGATAATATAAATGCTACCTTCATAAAATACCTTCATATTGAAAATTACCTAAGTGAATTTGCAAATCTGTTTCTTTGCACTTGTTTTAAGGTCAAATAATTTACAATTGTGTAAGATTAGCTGTTTTATCAAACATTTTCCTCAGATATTAAAGTTTCTATATTATATCCAAGTTTATAGCCCTCAAATATGATCTTAACTGGACTTCTTACAATTATACAGAGGTTACCTCACTATACTTGTATCTTTCTGGAAAGCTACACATAATCTATTCATATTTAAAGTGCACAGGACAGTGCCCAGGACCTAAGTTTAAGACTGGGAACTGGCATAAAAAAAAAAGGCTGGGCGCTGGTGGCTCACGCCTGTAATCCTAGCTACTCAGGAGGCTGAGATCTGAGGATCAAGGTTCAAAGCCAGCCCGGGCAGGAGAGACCGTGAGACTCCTATCTCCAATAAACCACCAGAAAACTGGAAGTGGCGCTGTAGCTCAAGTGGTAGAGCACTCGTCTTGAGCTGAAGAGCTGAGGGACAGTGCCCAGGCCCAGAGTTCAAGCCCCATGGCCGACCAAAAAAAAAAAAGACCAAAAATATAGATTTTTCTTAAGAAACATTAGTACACTACATATAGTCAGATTATGTTATAAGTATTTAACACATACCTGTTCCAAAGTCTGACTTGGAAGATGTGCCTCTGTCATAACTAATCCATAACGCTGAGTAGCCAAATTTCTCATTTCACTGTAAGTGGCCCAGTCATGAAGAGCTACTGTTGTGAGATTGTAGAAAGTCTTATCTAAGTAGTGAGTTACATATGCTAGAAAAAAATTTCAAAAAATTTATTTAGTAAATAGCAGAAACAAATGAAACTAGAAAGGAAACAAATAAATCAGCACAAAAACACCATCTGACTTTGAACTTAAAATTTCTTTCTGTAAAATAAGGTGCAGTACTCAGGTGGTTCTCAAATTTGAGGCCATAGAGACATTGTCTCAAAAAAAAAAAGCTCAATAAAAACAAAAGAAGAAACAAAATGGAAATAAATAACGAAATAAACTAGAACCCATTATTTACCTGTTTAAATAGTTAGAATGAGACATAAGATGACTCTAAAAGGGAACTCAAATACTCACCTCGAATGTCAATAAAACGATTAAAAAATCGAATTGGATTCAGAGAGAAAAAGAGAGCAAGGTCTTTCATGCCAACTTTGAAAGGGTTTCGGTCATCCAACTTTAAATGAGTGTGCACAGAAAGTCTCAGATCCTTCTCAATTTCTTTGCACAACTTGTCCAGTAAATGCTGCTCATAAGAAAAATGACAGTTTTCAAAATGATATTCTTAATTATTTTGTTTTCCTACATGTTTATGCTTTGACCCTAAGAATTTTATACCCTAAGAGTTTTATACTCAAGACAGTTATAATGGCTCACATGTGTAATCTCGGATACTTGGGAAGCAAAGTCAAAAGAATCCTAAATTCAGGGATAGCCCATACAAAGATAGTGGGATGAACCTCTCCCAAAAATTAAAAAAAAAAAGGGAAATTGAAAATGTTGAAAGGGGTGATGTTGATCAAGATACATTGTATTCATAAACTGCTTCAGTAAAGGGCAACTCCTTTGTATACCTACTTAAAGGTATTTTTTTTTTAAGACAAAAATCAAAGCAAAGTGAAACAAAGGGCTAGGGTCACAGCTTAAGTATAGGCCCTGGATTCTACAGGGTCCTAGTGCCATCAAATCAACATCATCATCATCATCAGTGCAGTAACTGAAAAAAAACATGCCAAACTGGTCTTTTTGACTTAGGAATCCAAAAACCTCAGTAGTAAAAATTTACTTTTATTGAGAAAGTGAAAACTATTCAACTTTCCATTTCATACCAATGCCTTTGGGGAGCATTGGGTTATATAAATACCAAAACTTTATTTTCATTAATACTTTAAATCTCTTGAAAAGAAAATCAAAAGCTAATAACCTGTGGTTTACTATAAGAAACATGAATATTAAATGTGGAGCATAAACACATTTTAAACTATCCACAAGACGAGAGATTCTACAAATATACACTAAAGAAAGATTCTAAAAATGTATACTATAATGGGCTGGGAAGGTGACTCAGTGGTAGAGTGCTTGCCTTGCATGCCTGAGGCCCTGGGTTCGATTCCTCAGCACCACATAAGCAAAAAGGAAAAAGCAGGAAGTGGCGCTGTGGCTCAAGTGGTAGAGCGCTAGCCTTGAGCTAAAGAGCTGAGGAACAGCGCTCAGGCCCAGAGTTCAAGGCTCCAAGACCGGACCCAAAAAAACAAACACATAAAAATGTACACTATAATAATAACTGAAACATACAATTCACTGTGCTAAAAGTAATTAAATTAACCATCTTCTTAGTCTACCACAATTCTAAACAGTGGCTACATATATTTTATTCTCAAAATCCTAGTCTATACTAGGATCTAACTCAGTACAAGACCCTGAGTTCAATAACCCAGCAAGCACTGGCAAAGAGAATATTTAGTACAAAAAATTTATACTGAAAAATTTATAATTTCACTAAACCTAAATAAGTTTGTACTGTGGTTAATTTTAATTCCTCCTCCTGGACAAAAGTATAACTAGATGGAAATTTAATTTTAAAGATATCAGTGTTTATACACATTAGAAAGGGAGGGACACCCTATATTCATCCAAATTATTTTTGCTCTACTGTCTTTTAAATCTTTAATTTTTCCCTTCTTAGGAGTTCTCCATATGAAACTCAGTAAAATATCAGTAGTTTAATTGCCTTATCCATATATCAGGAGCATTTAACATTCAAAACTATTTTGTTCATGTATTCCTATAATAAAGAGAAATTTAAATTTACTATTTATGAATTTGCAAATTCCTAAATTTCTTTAAAAAGTGGTAACAAAAACTAATTTATTATAATAGTAATACTGATACAAAAATAGTTCTTTGCTCTATACAGTGATTTATAAGTAAGTTTGACTTTATGAAAAGTCCGACACTGAACAAGACTTTGTACAAATAAATTGCCATGTTGAATTGAAACCTCTTTGTATAACTATTCAAAGATAATAAAATTTTAATTTAAAAAAAAACTGGTTAAATCTAAGATTTTTTTTCCAGAACTCTGTTTTAAGCTTTTCCATCTTAGCTATGATCTTACCTCATTTAAAATGTCCATAATTTCCTTGTCATAACAATCCAGAAGTACCTCATATGAATCTAAATGCCTTGCATGCATCATAGCAGGTACACAGTCTCGTAAAGCACTAAACATATACTAAGGAGAAAATTTAAGTCAATATCAATATGTGTAACTCAGGAATGTAATCTAAACAATATTACACAGGTAAATAATCTATGCAGAAAAATAAAAACCTTGGTCTGAAGGAACGATGACTTTCTATAACCATCTTATTTTCCCAAGAGAAGAATGTAAACCACATAAACACATTAAAAAATTATATTCACTTATCTTTTCCTATTTTATGCCTTCAAACATTCACTTCCAAACAGACATTTGTGGGATGTGGCATGCTCAAGGAGTAATATGCTTGGCTCTACTTTAATCCCTACTTCAAGAAGGAAAAGAAAACAGGAAAAGGAAAAGAATAGACAACACAGAGAGGACAGGAGAGGAGTGAGGAGATGATAGAGGGAAGGGAGAAGATGGGAGAAAAAGAAGGTATATTTGAGCAAAATACAGTTTTCTGATGAGTAAATGTCAGACTGTTATGACAAATTAAAATCAGAACGGTTAATTATATGGGAGAATGTATTAAAACTAACTTCATTAACATCAATATAAATTTAACTACAGACTGTATAAATACATATTGCATATGCATAACATTCAAAATAGATTAGCAGCCAATAAAGGTTTCTTAAATGAACTATTCTTAAAACTTAAAAAGTGACTAAAATTATTCTTTGTAATTATTCTTTACTTACATGTAATCTAGCCGCATCAACAGCATTTTCATATACATCATCTAAATAAATTGGGAAGACAGCTCGATGCCAGTATAAAAAACAACAGTCACATTGTGTTTGGACTCTACAATATAAGGTAGTATATAATTAGTAGTGCCCAAATAGAAGTATCCCAAAACAGCATGAAAGAATACTCACTGTATCATTTCGCTCAACATTATATAGAAAAATCACACTTTTCAAATTGAGCAAAGGCAACAAAATATTCCAACATTTCTTATCAGAATTCTCCATACACTTCAATTCCAAAGATTCTTTGAACATAATATATTAAGGTATGACTATGAAATGTCTCCCTTAGGTTCATGTGCTAAATACCTGGTAGTACTATTTTAGAAGATACTAACAATTTTAAGAGATGGCCTAGCTGGAGGAAGTAGGTCACCTGCGGCAAGCCTCTCAATGTGTTACCTGGTCCCCAGTCCCTTCCTCACTTTGCTTCCTGTCCACCTTGCCACCACATGCTCCCACCACCATGCCCAAGCCCACAGTGCCAAGAAACCACAGTGTAAACTCTCTGAAACTGTAAGCCAAAATAAATCCTTTCTCCTCTAAGTTGTCACTATCAGTATCCCAGTGACACAAAAGTAACAAGTCTTTGGAACTGGTGTAGTCCTAGAATGCTCCAGGCAGAGCTTAAGAGAGATTCTGGAGAAAAGTACAAAAGAGAATGTCAATAGGAATGGGGACAGTGAAAAGTTCTTATTGTTTCTGAGATCAATGAGAACCTCCTTAAGAACTGTACTACAGTGCTTTCATGTCCAGCAAAGAATTTGTGTACATTTTGTACATCCACATCCTGGACTTTGAGTGAGGCTGAGTAATTGGCCACAAAAATTTTTAATTAAAAAATAATAAATATAAATAATGGACTAATTAATTAGGCACAGAGAATTTCACCACAGCATTCAAACTATGCTTAGTTAACTTTATCTGCTTTTATCCAGGCTTATAGTAAAAACTGGAAGCCAAAAATAGAGCAGAAAGACTAGAAGAACTTACAGATTTGTCACAAAAAAAAAAAAAAAAAGTCAAAGATTAGGGCTAAGGAAGCTGGTTTCTGAAAAGATAAGCACCATTAAAAAGACAAGCACTTTACATCCAGACAGTAAGAAACATGCCCTGAATGTCTCAAGAACTGGCCACACTCCCCCTACTTCAGACTCTAGGGTATGAGTATAAAGACTTCATTGACAGTATTTAGAGTAGAGTGACTAGACTCCCGTGGTGCATAGTGTAGGCTAAAATGTTGCTTCCCCAAGATTGATTTCATAGAACTTAGTCACCAAAGTTTGCCATGTTGGGTTTCTATTTTCTTTGATCCCATTTCTTCTTATTTCTCCATTTTGAAATAAGCATGTTTACTCTGTTCCATTGTATCTTGGAAGTAAGTTACTTTCTTTTTTATTCATTTTAGGAAGAGCCTCACAGTACCTACCATGCTCTACCACTTGAGCCACATCCTGGTTCTTTTTGCTTCATTTCAAATAAGGCCAGCCTAGACCATGGCATTCCTATTTCCACTTTTCATGTAGCTAGAATTTCAGACATGTACAGCTGAGACCCAACTTTACTGATTAAAATGGGCTCTTGATAATTTTTTGCCTGAACCAGCCCCAAATGGTCAGCCTTTCAATCTCCAACTCCCAGGTAGTAAAGATTACAAGGCATGAGCCACGCTGTCCAGTTTTTAATAGTTCACATATAAAAGACAACTTTGAGTCTAAATTGTGATTCTAGACTTTTGAACTATGTCAGAAATGCTAAGACTTTGGTAACTCTTGGAAATGCACTAAATAAATTTTTATCAAGAGTTAATTTTGTTATCACTGTGACAAAACTGACTCATAATACTTATAACTTTATTATAGCAACACTTACATCACACTTATTTACAACTTTAAAAACTGATAAAACCCCTGTCATATGTTCAGTCTTTGCCACAAAATAACTATTTCATACCTTATATGGTAACAAATGATGGCTAAATATTATATAATGAGGAAGGTTCAATTTTTCTTCCAAAGATGGAAAATTACAGGTTACCAGCCAGAAAAATGTCATCTTCTCAGCACAGCAAAGAAAATTACGAGTATTAAATGGAAATTGTGCTGTAACTGTTATTCAGAAGAATCGTTTTCCTTTCAAGAAATCTCTTGTTTACTCAATAAAGAGAAAACAATAAAGTCAACAGTACTTCCAAAATAAGACTTCCCAAAATTGAACTTAGTGACTGGCCACTGACAATGTAATTAAACTCCTATCACTAAAATTACAGAAGACTGGGCTGGGAAGGTGGCTCAGTGGTAGAGCGCTTGCCTTGCATGCATGAGGCCCTGGGTTCGATTCCTCAGCACCACATAAGCAAAAAGGAAAAAAAAGCCAGAAGTGGCGCTGTGGTTCAAGTGGTAGAGCGCTAGCCTTGAGCTGAAGAACTAAGGGACAGTGCCCAGGCCCAGAGTTTAGGCCCCATGACTGGAACCCCCCCCAAAAAAAAAAATTACAGAAGACTATGTGTCATGGATCACTGTCTGACAATTGATGAAGCCTTACTGTAAAGCAGCAGATTTAAAGTCCACTAATAACACTCAACATAATAATCAAAATATGCATTAGTCTCTGTCAAATGCTCTGAGGCCACATTGCTTTACTTTGTATGAGTTTTTCCAGGAGGCTGCATGCTCCTATAAAAACAAACCTAAAGATCCCTAAGCTAGCACTGGTGGCTCATGTCTATAATCCTAACTACTCAAGAGGCTGAGATCTAAGGATCATAGTTTGAAGCCAGCCTGGGCAGAAAAGTCCCCTTGAGACTCTTAACTCAAAAACCAGAAGTAGAGCTATGGTTCAAAATGTAGAGCACTAATCTTGAGCAAAAAAAGCCAAGGACAACACTTAGGCCCTGAGTCTAAGCCCCATGACTGAAAAAGAAAAAAAAAAAGAAAGATAACTTCATGAATATCTTTCTGATCAAGGAGGTTACATTTTGTTAAGGTGAAGGAGGTTACATTTTGTTAAGGTGGTTACAGTGAAGAACTAATGCCCTATCTGGTTTTATTCCCTTTCTTGTTATGCTAAGAAGAAAACCAATATTCCTGTTAGTTCTGTCATCAGGAGTATTATGACAGATAGCAATCCTACTTACCGTTCTCTAAGTTCACTGATAAGATCCAGCTTTTTCATAACTACTTGAAGGGGAAAGAGTTCTTCATCTTTAAATGTTTTCTTTCAGAAGGAGAAAAAAAAGCAGAGAAGTTGCAGTCAAAAGTAGGGATAGGTTTCTTGGGTCAATAACTAAAGAACTGTAAAATATCAGACCTGATATTATCCATAAGTAACACCAACACACTTACCATTTGTGTACCAACACTTAGTGCCAAAGAAACAATCAGTCGTCGTTGCTTTGTGCTTGGTCCATTTAAAGTGTTTTCAGCCAAAACTAGGGCAGAGAGCACATCAAGACGCTGTTCACTATATTTTTTGTCTGAAATTACTCTTTTCTTAAAAATAACAGAAAATAGGAAACTATTAGCTTAGTTTTTGAGATAGTAACACAAGTCTCATAAGAAAAATTTTTCTATTAGCTTTCTATGATTCAACTTTAGAGAGCAGGAGTAATTACTTCAATTGTTGAATTTCATATGTTTTATATTTTATCTTTTCAACACTATCCCTTACAATTGTCAGGAATAGCTGGGCATCAGTGGCTTACGCCTATAATCCTAACTACTCAGGAGGCTGAGATCTGAGGATCTCGGGTCAAAGCCAGCCCGGGCAGGAAACTCTGTGAGACTCTTATCTCCAATAAACCACTAGAAAACTGGGAGTGGCAGTATGGCTCAAGTTGTAGAGCACTCGCCTTGAGCTGAAGAGCTGAGGGGACAGCACTGAGGCCCAGAGTTCAAGCCTCATGACCAACCAACCAAAAAAAAAAAAAAAAAAGAAGTCAGAAATAGCAAACATATTAGGCATACTTTAAAATTCTATATTAATTTAATAAGAAATCATTTGTAACAATGAAATCTCATTTTCAAAGTTCATATGCTATCAATTTTTTTTTTATTTTTTTTGCCCAGGGCTTGGACTCAGGGCCTCATGCTCTTGCTCAGGTTTTCTGCTCACTGGCTTTTGAGCCACCTCCAGTACAGCTTTTTGGCTAGAGAAAAGTACCTCATGGACTTCTGTGCACAGGCTAATTTCTTTTTTTTTAATGTGTGGTAGAATCGGGTCTTTTGTTTATTCTTAAGTGCACAGGCTAATTTCAAACCATGATTCTCAGACTTTAGTGGATTGCAGGAACCACTAAAAAGCCCAGTCAATATCATTTTTTTGTAGAGATGTATAAATGTATTTTATGCTTTAATTTCAGAGTAATGGTAACTCTCATAAGAATCAATAAAAATCATAAAATACTAAAGATAGAAAAGACCAATAATATTTAAAGAAATGGGATAGGCTAAATTAAAAAGCACATCAAATAGAAAAAAATGCTTATGTAGAATACATAATAACTTACATACCTTGGCTATAGAAATAGAATTAAGAGCTTGATGTTGAAGGTGCTGTGTTATATGTGAAACTGAATCAGCCACAACCATGCTTCTCCTGTAGAACATATGCTCTATTGCCTAAAAAATGTCCAAAAGTAATTTTGTGAAAATCAATTTAAAGTTTAAGTAAAATAATAGGAGAATATCTTTAAAATGTTAAGCATGGGAAGGAATCTGTAACTGAGAAACATAAAACACAATAAAAGGTAAAAATTTTAAATTCAATTACATTAAAATTAACAACTTAATAGTTATCAAACAACAGAAAGTAAAACAAATATATGAAAGACATCTGCCAAATATAAAGAATTAGTATTCAGAATACACATAAAGACTCCAAATGAGGAAAGATATCCATTAGAGGCATACAATCCAAGAAAAAGTTAAAAGATATAAAGTTTTTCCTAAAAAGGTAATGAATGACTGAAAACATATCCAACCATCAATTATTAACCATCATTAACCATTAGGAATTAAACATTAAAAATTACAATCATTGGCCAGGTGCTGGTGGCTCACGCCTATCCTAGCTACTCAGGAGGCTGAGATCTGAGAATTGTGGTTCAAAGCCAGCCTGGGCAGGAAAGTCCATGAGACTCCTATCTCCAATTAACCAACAGAAAACCAGAAGTGGCACTATGGCTAGAGTGGTACAGCTATGGCGGTGAGCTGAATTGCTCAGAGACAGCGCCCAGGCCCACAGTTCAAGCCCTATGACGGACAAAATTATCATGGAGTCAGTGGCTCACACCTGTAACCCTAGCTACTCAGGAGGTTGAGATTTAAGGATCTTGGTTCAAATCCAGCTTAAGAAGGAAAGTCCGTGAGATTCTTATCTTCATTCAGTTAACCACCAAAAAGCCAAAAGTGGAGCTTGGCTTAAGTAGTAGAGTACCCGCCTTGATTTAAAAAAAAAACTTAGGGAGCACACCCAGAACCTGAGTTCAAGCCCTAGGACCATAAAAAAAGTAATTATTCTCATTAATTTATAAAACAAACAAAAATTAACAGAAACCTGTAATAGAAGTGAAGCATGCCTAAACTGAATATCAAAACCTGTAAAGTTACAAAATCCAGACCTTTTTCAGTATTAATGTAATATCACAAGTAGAATATGGCACATCTGACTTCAGGTGAAGCGTTGCAATTAAAACAAGGCAAATATAAATAACTTTGTAAAATAACTACCTCACCTCCAAGACATGTATATAAGGTATGCATGAAACGTAAGTAAATTTCAGACAGCCCTGGATCCGGTCCCCAACTGTGCATGTGCAAATATTCCCCAAATTAAGAAAAAAACAAAGGGCTGGGAAGGTGGCTCAGTGGTAGAGTGCTTGCCTTGCATGCATGAGGCCCTGGGTTCGATTCCTCAGCAACACATAAGCAAAAAGAAAAAAAGCCGGAAGTGGCACTGTGGCTCAAGTGGTAGAGCTCTATCCTTGAGCTGAGGAACAGCGCCCAGGCCCAGAGTTCAGGCCCCATGACCGGACACCTCCCCGCCAAAAAAAGAAAAAACAAAACCTAGAATCCAAAATATTTCTAGTCCCAAGCAGTTCCAATAAATGGTACTCAACCAGTGCTGGTCAGGCAAGGAACAATAGTAAGTCTATTATACCTAAACTGTTATTACTATTTAGGAAAGGATTTGCACCATCTTGGAAAGTTGATACATAACTAACTTATATAATGTGCATATAATGAAGTATCTACCCACTTAACCTCATTTACTACCTGAGGTATGTTTCCTGTACAAGTATTCCAGGAAATAAAACAATGGAAGAATTGTTTATGATGGTAAAAATTGGGAACAACCCTAAAGTCTATTCATAGACAAGACCCATCACTGCAAATGACCGTATTATAGGTACCTATCCCCATATAGATACATTTTAACATAAAATTTTGAGTAAAAAGAGCGAGACAAAGAATATAAAAAATTATTCCATTAATAGGAACTTTTAAACCCTATATAATAATGAATGGTATTTCCTTAGATGAGGGGGGTTGGTAGGATGAATGCAATCTAGAGATATAACTGGGGCTTGGAAAATACTGGTAACATTCAATCTCTTAAGTGGCATCATATTTGTTATTATTTTTAAATTATGCTCATATGCCAGGGACTGTTAGTTCATGCCTGTAATCTTAGCTACTCAGGAGGTGAAGATCTGAGGACTGCAGTTCAAAGCCAGACAAAAAAGTCTGTGTGATTCTTATTTCTAATGAATCAGCGAAATGCCAGAAGTGGAGGTGTGGCTGAACTGACACAGTGCCAGCTTTGAGCAGAAAAAGACAAAGCCAAGAGCACAGGGTCATGAGTCCAGTACTTGCACCAAAAAAAAAAACCCTACATTTATATGTATCTAATCATATACAAACTGTACACACTGTATTTGTATTTCATAAAAAGGTCAACAAAACTGTACAATACAAATTATATTTATATAATCCAAAATTATGATATATATATAATCTTAATTTTTTAAGCCAGAAAATTCAAAGGTGCAGGAAAATCAAAACAAAACTTTCTTTCCTGAACAATTCTGGTCTATTATTAGCAGAAATGTTTTAAATTTTTGCATAAGACTAAGTAGACTCTTCCTGTGAGTTTTTTTTTTAATAGACTATACTACAAAACACTTTACTGTATTTCTGTAATGTATACTATGTTAAGATTTGGAATTCATTTGTTCACAACTTTATGTAGTATTCTGTTTACATCACAAAATTTTAGTATTTTCTTTTTTCTTATTAGTTTACGTTAGTTATAGAGAGGGGGGATTTCATTGTTACAACCCATTTAGCACTTTCTGATTATTATGTTAACTAACTTCATATGAATGTGAATTCTACAAAAAATAACTGATACCTTATAGCATATTTTATATCATGATATTTTTAAACTCATATAAACGTGCTTTTAAAACTTGTAGGAATAGAACTTTACTAAAAAGAGGGCTAGCTCTTGTATTGTTCTTTTCTTTCTTATAACACTAAACCAAGTTTAAGAACACAGGCCTCACCTTACAATTTTTCAACTTTAAAACAGTACAAAAACATATTCATATGACTATTTTTCACTTTCAATATATATGAAATAATGAATAGTTTATTAAAAAAATAGGTCTTGAGTAAAATGATGCTACCAAACTACAGGATAACGAAAGTGTGCTGAGCACATTTAAAATGGGCTAATCTGAGCTAGAAGGTTATCAGCACACAATTCCATCGTAAGTCAGGGAGCCACCTGTATCAGAAATTTCTTTCAACTGAAGGGTAAGTACATGTTCTCACAACTTTTAATATAGGCCTTCTTTACATGAAGTTCTCAATGTAATCAGGAAGTCAAATTTCACAAGATTATTTTAAGTTCTGGTCATTTCTCAATCACCAAGACAAGGTAAAATAACCAACACTAACCTTAAGAAGTTCAATGAGCCTGCACAATGCCTTAACTGAGGTTTTAGTCATTGGCTTTTGCATGGACATATAAAGATTCATCGTGGTTTTAATAATGGTACTAATACCATATGCATACAAGAATCCCTAAAAAAGAAAACATTCAATATTATCACAAGAACTCATATTTCTCTCTGTACTAACAATTATTTCTCAATTTGACAATGATTCTAAAGTTTGTCTTAAAGCCAGTTATTAAAATTTTGAAATAGTTTTCCTAACCTAGAATAATTATGCATTATTAGTTGGTATGAAAGAAACTCTTAATTTAGAGTGAGGGAAGGGATGACATTGTCCAAAAAGAAAAGTACTCTTTACCTGACTTATAGAACTGTAACCCCTCTGGTACATCACATTTATACTAACAATGATAAAAAAAAAGTTAATTTAGACAATCACATACCAAAAGTTCAATGTTGTTGAAATTGAAGTGTATAATATTTTTTAATCTTTCCATAAAGAGGAAAAAAAAGAAAACTTTCAAGGAAATCGTGTCAAGGAAACTACTCATCTTTATCTTACCTGCCAGTACAGCAAATGAAAGCTCCTCTTTCTTCCTATCTAGGGTCAGAGCCAAGACTCTAAGAAGCTAAGAAGTGAAGAATGAAGAGAAAGAGCTGCTTTCCGACCATTGCATGAAGGAATTTCTGAATTCAACCACCTCCTTCTTTCTTCTTTCCCTACACCAATCCCTACAGTCCACCTGTAATCTCATCTCTGTCAGTGGGCCTTCTCTCCTTCCAACCCAATGAGGACAACACATTCTCCCTTCCCCTTCTTCTTATGAAGGATGCCAAAGTTTTGTCAAGTTAAAAAAAAAAAGAAGAAGAAGAATGCTACTCAACTAAGGGAAACTGAATCAGAAAACAGGAAATAAGGATATTGCTTCTCATACAGTTTTTCATTTAAACCTAAAAGAGATACTAAACAAATAAATAAATAAATAAATCAGAATGATAGCTGGGTGCCAGTGGCTTACACCAGTAATCCTAGCTATTCAGGAGGCTGAGATCTGAGGTTTGTCATTCAAAGCCAGTTGGGTCAGGAAAACCTTTAAGACTCTATCTCCAATTAATTACTAAAAAGCCAGAAGTGGAGCTGTGGCTCAAGTGGTAGAGCACTAGCCAAAAGCAAAAAAGCTCACAGACAGCACCCAGGCCCTGAGTTCAAGCACCAAGACAGGCACAAAAACAAACAAAAAAAACATAATGATAATGATAGAGATTTGGAGGGTTTTTAAAGGTTTGAGAATATTAGCATTTAGAGTTACATGTTGGCAAACATGGTGCCAAGAGCACAAGAAAGTAAATATACTCTTGCAGTAAGCATGCTTCACTGAAAAGGGACACATAACATAAAGTGAAAAATGGGAGAGTCCCTAGACTGTTCATTTACAGTTCCGTCATGACATACATTATTATTATGTTAAACGATACAGGGCAGGGAGCACCCTCAAGAAAATGGCAGTGAGGCAAAGATTGAGACATGCATTCAAAAAGAGCTATAAGAGGCTGGGAATGTGGCTCTGTGGTAGAGTGCTTGCCTTGCATGCATGAGGCCCTGGGTTCGATTCATCAGCACCACATAAGCAGAAAAAGCTGGAAGTGGTACTGTGGTTCAAGTGGTAGAGTGCTAGCCTTGAGCTGAAGGGCTGAAGGACAGCACCCAGACACAGAGTCCAGGCCCCACAGCTGGCCAAAAAAAAAAAAAAAAAAAGAGCCATAAACCTTAGAGACAGGAACAACAAAAGTCAAACTCTTAAGACAGGCAGAAAAGAAGGCCTCTTTTTCTTGGTGGAAGCTGAGGTCTTGAAGTATAAACTTCCTGGGCCCAAACATCACCTATTCAACATTAATTTGTAACCTGGACATAAATAAAACATTACTTTAAAATCTATTACTTTAAAATATTACTTTAAAAGGGGGAAGAGAGGTCTAGGATCTACTACTGTTAATGACAAAATAAACAATATGGTCTCCTGAGTACAGCTAGAAAAGCTGAAAAACACATTAATAAAATACCTTGGAAGGAATCAAAGACCTATCAGGAAAGTAAGGAAACAGGAGGCCAAGATCTGGAAGAAGATAGAAGCACAGAGTTGTGAACATTTGGAGACACTTTCTTTAGATCATCTGTCTTAGAGGTTTTTGTTAAAGGATAATGTCAACCATACTTTTCAGTGGTGTTATACAGTAAAGGAAGACAAAAACAGGAATCCACAGCCCATCAGGAAGGGTACAGGGTTCTGGTAAACTATGTAGGTGCTGGAGTAGTATGCTGAAAGATTAATGCTTCCCACCTTCAAAAATTTAAGAATGCACTGAAAACAAAAAATTATCATCAAAGGACTGAAGTGCCTATTCAAATCAACTCAATCCATGACTAGATTGGAAGAACACCATACCTAAGGGGAACACAGTAATGTTGCTAAAATCCAAAATCTAAAATTTAAAAGAAATTGAACAAAGACATACCATATTTAAAAAGTAGTAAAACCAATAGCTGACTTCTTAACAGAAACAAAAGAAGCCTGGAGATAATAAAATGCCATTAGATGGAAAAGCCTAACCAATCTTGAATTGTAAAGCAGACAAATTATTGAAGATGTATTCAGGCCAAAATCTGTGATTATTCATCAACAGAAAGTTACATTAAATGAAATACTTATAGGAACTCCACAAGCAAAAATATAAAGTTAAAAAAGAGATTTAGAAACATGCTACTCAACATACATTATGTGAAAAATGACCTATGAAACTTGTGAGCAGGGATGGAAGGGGAAAACTGGGAGAACAGGAAGGAAGGAGTGATACTGTCCAAAAAGTGAAATGTACTCATTACCTGACTCACTACCCCTCTATATACACCTTACTAATAACAATAAGATAGTATTTTTATAAAAAGAGAAATGTAGGAAAAATGGAAAGTAGTAAGATTGAGAAAACAAGAGTCAATCTAAATAAGCATTAATTTTAAAAATAACAGTAGCACAAAGCAGGGGTAGAAGGGAGGAAAAACAAAATTCAAGTGGTTTAAAACCCTACACAGTACAATTGGTCAAGTAACTTAAGTTCTATTAGAGATGAATGAGTAACATTGTATTGTAAAATCTTGAGAGTAACCACAAAAAGAACAGTAAAATACAGAATCAAGGAAATAAAGGGAAAAATAGCAAAAAAAAAAAAAAATCCAAAAATGATCAAAAAAGGAAAAGAGTTCAGGCCCCACGACCGGACCCAAAAAAGAAAAAAGAAAAAGGAAAAGGAAAAGGGAACACAAAACAAAAGGCAGATAAATAGAAAACAACTAATCAGGTGGTAGTTTCAAATTAAATATATTGGTAATGATAAAACAAACAGTGCAACGAAAAAGATAAATATTACCAGATTGGGGAAAAATATATGCAGGCATATATTAAGTATAAAAATTCAGAAACAGCACCAGTGTAAGGATTAAAAAAGATACACCATGTAAATATTAGCTAAAAGACTTTCAGATAAGATACAGCTACCTGTATAAAAATATTGCATCTATTGGTGAGGTCTTCAGCAAACTTATCCATTCTCTGCTCTTTAGATAAAATAGACTCCATTTTCATCATCCATGAGCTCACAAAGACGTAGTAAGACTGAACATCTCTAACAAAGGAAAACATTGTGGTTACTTAGTGCATGAAAATAAAGTAACTTCCCTATTTTTCCTATTAACTGGAATGTTTCCTTACAGTAGCCATTTTTGCCTTTCTAGTTTTCAAAAGACAGAAATGATAAATATATGGCTGTTTATTAAGAGCCTGTACAGGGCAGGTGGTATTTCTAGTATCTAGAACAGATGCAAATCCTTTCTCCCACAAAATCTATGCTCTACAAAGGAGAATAGTACAATAAAGAAGTTAATAATTAAATCTGGCATAATAATGCACACTTGTAGTCAGGAGGTTGAGGCAGCATGAGTTCCAGTCCAGCCTAGGTTACATAACAAGACTCTATCTCAAAAGAAAAACAAAATCTAAATTCCAGGAAATGGAAACAAGGGTGTTAGGGTTGTTTTTTTTTTTGTTTTGTTCATTTATTTGTCTTTGGGGAGGCAACAGGGGGAACACAGAAATGGAGGAACAAAGGGTGAACAGCAAATGCAGCAGTGGTACTCAGTAGACACTATGTTTGAAAATGAACTATACAACTTGTGGACACAAATAGGTGGGAAAAACTGGGAGAGCACAAAGGAAGAGGTGACATTGCCCAAAAAGAAATGTACTCATTTCCTGACTTGTGAAATGGTACCCTTATAAAAATGAATAATTTTAAATAAAAAAATAAAAAATTAAAGTATCAAAATAATTAAAAGGTATCAGGTTATAAATGAGATGGTAATAAGTTAAGCAAGTTAATGAATAGGGACTGAGATAGGGTGCAATTTTTAAATACAATAATCAAAGCAGGTCACTGCGTATGTGAATTGGGAGCCACGACGTAAACCAGATCAATGAGTAACACACACAAACATATGACAGAAGTGAAATTAAGGAAAGTAAATAGTAAGTGAAAACATCTTAAGACATTTGGAAATGTGTCTGGCATGTCCCAGAAATAAAAAGGTAAATATGACAAGTGGATAATAAGCAAGGAGAGGAACACAAAACTATATCAGAGAGGTACAGAGTGGAAGCTAGGAGCATGCCACGATGGCGTGAGGCAGGGACAGCAAAAGCCCTTGTGGGGGAGCAAGGACTTCAACTCTGAGGACAGGGAAAACCAATGGAGGGGAAAAGCAGAACGAGTGTATCTGTTTTTCAGAGGATCAATCTCACTTTGGTTAATGTGTTAAAAATTAACTTATAGAGGGGGAAATCATCTTCCTAGGAAGGAAAAACTGAGAGAAAAAGAGGGCAGCTTGAACAAGATTAAGAAAACAGAATAGTCAGAATGTAAAGGCTAAAACCTAAATCCTTACTATCTGTCAGTTACTGTTCTAAGAACTTTACAAATTAGCTAGTTCTATCCTCACAAGAACCATGAGGTAGGTATTATTATCTCCAGTTTACAGAAGAAGAAACTGCCACACAGAAATTAGATGCCAAGATCAGATGAATAGTAAGCAGTGGAGCCAAGATTCAAACCCAACACTAGGAAGCCTTTTTTTCTCATCCTGAAAGGACTTAAGTCAACAGCAAATGTAATGTTTTCTATTGTTCAGGCTAATTACAAACACTTAATCATTCTACCAATTTATCTCAACTTAGACAACCTCACAAAGAAGAACTTGTAAGACTTCCAAGCTACTGAAGCTATCTTTTCTCTCAAAAAAAATTGTAAAAAATAGACAATTCCTCTTATGGAATCTAATATTAACAACTAAAATCATCTTCAGGCCAGGCATTGGTGGCTCACATCTGTAATCCTAGCTACTCAGGAGGCTGAGATCTGAGGATTGAAGTTCAAAGCAGCCCAGGCAGAAAAGTCTATGTGATTCTTATCTCCAGTAAACCATTCATAAAAAGCAGGAAATGGTGCTGTGGCTCAAGTGGTAAAGTGCTAGACTCAAGCAAAAAGAAGCTCAGGGACAGTGCCCAGGCCCTGAGTTCAAGCCCGAGGACTGAGGAAAAAAATCTTCTTCAGTTACAGAAGGTGAAGAAATTTCCCACATTTCCATTCAGCCAAAGGATAGCTCTTCAGAGCAGAGGATCTAGAACAGATTAAGATAAGAATCCCACAATGAGGCAATCTGCCAACATAAGATCTCAGCGTGCAGAGGGATTATATCAAAATCTCTAACAATCATGTTTTAGGGAAGCGGAAACCTAGTAAAAACCGTTCCTGTGTCCTATTTCCACTAGACCAAAAACCCAAGTCACAGTGTGGATTATTTGAGGGTGCTAAAATGTTATTTAACTCTGAGAAAGAGACAAAGACAGACAGTGAGAAAGCAGAATCCTAGAGCAACACTCCTACTTTTGAGGAGGCACCTGTGATCAGGTACAACAAGGACATTAAGTACAGGATCAGCCAAAAACATCCTAGGTAAGGACCAGCGAAAGAGATGTAGAGTGTCTTTTACTCCCAGCTAGAAATGTCAACAGCATTATGAAAGTGATCCATGGTAAAAAAAAAAAAAAAAAAAGACTCAGCAAGCTTTAGATCAGACTACAAAAGATAAAGAGCATAGTTTATCTGTCAATTCTCTTACAGCTAGATGCCAGATGATCTTGGTACCTTGTACATATACAAAAATGAACCCTCTCATTGAAAAACAAAATTTCAAATCTAAACCTGTTTTTCCATCCTTAATTTTGTTGGATATACTATGTAGCTTTGGTATCTCTGCCATGAATTGGTTATACTTTGTCCATTGACTACTGCCACAGGACACAGGGGTACTGGGATGCTTTACTACTAGAAAAGGTGGAGCATGTCAGGTTCATGATCATTTGATATATGACATGGCAGACATGTAGCGCTTCTCATCATCAGCTGCCCACAGCTAATCTGCCTGTATTAATACTGTATGGCTTATTAGTAATGTTCAAAATTTCAAATGGCCGTAAACATATGCAAGGGGATCCTCCTACAATGCAGACATACTTCTTATTCTCCACTGTGTAGCAATGACCCAATTTTATCTATCACCAGGATCAACAGCAAGTTCCAAAGTATCACTATTAAGCCTTTAACTGTATCACAGGTAACATGTGACCAGCAGAAGTCCAATGACAGCATCCTGTGTCATTTCTCTCAAAACCTTTATCCAGGTTAACATGAGATTCTAGCAGTAGACTCAAAGAAAAATACAGAACAATGTAGTTACTGAAGCTGGGTAAGGGAAACCCAAAGTTCTTTATGGACATGGGAGTATTGTGTTTTGGGAAGCAGGACTAAGGTACAGGTGGGAATCGGGTTAGGGACAATTAAATTTCCCTTTCACATTATCAGCAGACAAATAAAGGAAAGAGCAGGATGCTAGTAGCTTACATCTGTAACCTTAGCTGATACAAGGGAGGCTGAGATCTGAGGATCATGGTTTGAAGCTAGCCTGGGCAAGAAAGTCCATAAAACGCTTATCTCCAATAAACTACCCCCACCACCCCCACACACATACACAAAAAAAGCTGAAATAGAGCTGTGGCTCAAATGGTAGAGTGCTAGCCTTGAACAAAAAGATGCTCGGGGACAGTGCCCAGGCCCCAAGTTCAAGCACCAGGACTAGAACAAAAAAATAAGATAAAATATATTTAAAAATTAAGGGAACGAAAAAAAGAACAGCTTCATATTGAAGTCAACTCCTCAAAAACTCATCATAGATACCTACTGTTTGTAATGACATCTACCATAAACAACTCATTTAAACAAAAGTTATTTAATAAACCAAATAAGAAGTATGTGTACATAAAGCATATTTTGTCTGCACTTAAATTGACATTAAGATTAAAACTTATCTTTTTAAGTGCTAATATAATCTCCTGAAGATGTCTCAACCTTTCTCTGGTAATAAGTATATCTGACTTTATTAATTCAAACATTTTAATGTAAAAAAATATAAGTACTATCATTACAGTTATTGATAAAACCTACTTGGTAAGTGATTGAGCTTTCTGCTGTAGAAACGTATCCCTGTGTACTTTAATGGCTTGAAGACTCTTTCTGTCCAGAAGTTTGGCAGCTGCTGCTATTTTCTGGATCAGAAAATTATCAGGAAACCAAATAATATTAGCAGTTAGGGTGATGGCTGGTACCTGAAATAAAAAGGGAAATATCATTAAATGAGGACAATAAGCTCTTTAATAATTCTAAAGTGTACACAGAAAACAATTCATTCCAAGAAAAAATAACTGCAAAAATCAATTTGAGGCAAATATGAAACTGCAGCATAAAGTGAAAGCATTTATTTATCTGGTGCTTGGTATAACAATTTTATTTTGCTTAAATATTCACAAACACACTATTGTAGCTTGCACAAACTTGAATTCCCATATATATATATTTTTTTTTGGGGGGGGAGGTCTGGTCCTGGGGCCTGAACTCTGGACCTGGGCGCTGTCCCTCAGCTCTTCAGCTCAAGGCTAGCGCTCTACCACTTGAGCCACAGTGCCACTTCCGGCTTTTTTCTTTTTGC